GGATCAAAGTAGTTGCATATTTGGGGAACTAATACTTTCTCTCTCTTTTGACTGTATTTGTTCAAGGGAGTTGTTGGTTACAACATTCCATTATCTTACTGGTTCTAGTAGTCCCTAATGTGTTGTCTCTAATATGTTACAGTGCTTTTTCTGATTTCATTATAATCATCTCTTGTATAATTCTTGAAATAATACTACAGGTAGTCCTCATTTAGTGACTATCCCAGACAGCAACCAATTTTGCGACCGATGCCTGCATTTACGACCTTCACAGGTCTGTAAAGTGAAGGGAAGCTGAAGTAAAACTGTTAAATCATGATGTTTCACTTAGCAACTGCTTCACTTAGTGACCAAGTTGCTGGTCCAAATTGTCGCTAAACAAGGACTACCTGTAATAGGCCAAAGAAGATTTGAATAAATTTTCAGACAAGCACATCTTTAGTAAAGTGTTTTGATATTTTCAGGTTACTTTTACAAGGTGTCTGTATGCGCAGCTGATTCAACAGACATTTGTACCAGACAGACGGAGTGGCTACTCGTTGCCTCCTCGTTCACATCCTCAGTACAAAGCATATGAACTAGGCATGAAACTGGTAAGTGTTTACCTTGACCCTTGATATTTTCACAACAAGGTATTAGTTTCAATGTACCATATAGAGAGAGAGACACACAAACAATCACAGACCAGAATCCATACATAAAATAAATCCATCAAAGAGAATACATATAATAGAACTTGGATAAGACCTAGACGCTCAAAGCAGCAACCTGCCATAGCATGTGTCATCTTTGGGTTTCTGTCAGTCAAAAATTAATAAATATAGAATTTATCGAGGTAGCCAAGGCATTTTGGGTCTCAGGACTGTAATAGTCTTACCTGAATAGCAGGATAAAACCTACATGTGCTCTGTCAATTCAACATCTCCTGCTTTGCAAAGGGAAAGGCTTTGCCTGGTTGAAACGGTATGTCTGCCAAAGGGAAGGCATTAACATGGGCTCTAGAGAAGACCCAACAGTATTTAAGGTAGGTAAGTGATTTTAAGTAATTTGCAAGATAATCTCTTGAATTTGCACATAAAACATTTTGCTTGTTTCTGAATAAGGTGTTTGTTAGTTAATGTTAAAACTTCATTAAGATAATGTTCCATTTATCACGTTATCCAGCCTTCTTAACATGACAGAAAACTACATACACACTATCCTCTAATATTCCATTTTAATTCTTCATTAAAAGAATAAAAAAGGTACTATAGGTATTCCCCAAATATAGTAGGACACCTCCCCTTGCAATCAGTTGGATTATGACACTAATTCTCCCTGTGCATTTTTATTCTGAATGTTCTTTTAAGATATTTCACCTAAAGATTGCCCTCTGGCAGGTGGCAGCACCTAACTGGATTTGGCTAATCTTGACAAAATTAAACAGGGTTGGACCTGGTTAATAGTTGGATGAGAGACCACTAGGCAGTTTTAGGACTGTAGATTTAGGAATAAAAAAGAAAAGAAAGCCATGCCAGAAGATGGCAGTAGCAAACTACTTCTGTATAATTGCTAAGCAGAAAACTTGGATATTTCCATACAGTGACCAGGTGTTAAGCGCAATGCAAACCAAATGTTGTCTTCACTTTGAAAATGTATTGCAACAATTCTTACATTAAGATGCAAATATTATACAAGTGTTTCTTTCCATATTGCTCACAGGCTCATGGTTTTGAAATTTTATGCTCAAAGTATAATTCAGCTTCTCCTGATTCCAAGAAACAAGTGTTGAATGTTCCATTATGGGATAGATTTCTCAGTGCCCTGAAGAAGAACAATTATTTTAAGGTGAGCTATTTATATGAATTGGAAGAACACAGACCTGCTTTAACTGTTCAATGAAATCATCTGTTGCCAATCTAATGTCTCCATACTTTAAAATATAACCTAGATTTATATTTTAAAAGAAGCAATGTGGGTACCACTTTGGGCTGTAAATATAGTGGTGGGATATAAATCTAATAAATTAATAAATAAATAAAAGATTTATTCACTGCATAATCATAAAGTAATAATACCTTCATCTCTGATATTCAAAATGGATATCAGGATAGCTTGCAGTCATCCCAATTGCTAGGATTCATTCTTCTAGGCTACTTCTGGGTTTTACAGGTGATCGCAGGAATCTAACAAGACCATTCACCCTCGTGGAATTAAGCCATTTTTGGACTGCACATTACAAAATGTTTATCTGATTCCTGTTGACCATAGACAAAAGTGCAACTCCTTATATACACACACACCCACAAACAGAAGGTTGGAGAAGTTCTATCTACTCAAACTTTTGATTGGAGGGTATTTTGGAATATTTCTTGCTTGCTTTCTAATAGCACAGTTCAGCCCTTGTTTTATCATTAATGTTTATAACTACGTTCAACAGTCATGTCTTCTTTTGATAGGATTATATTATCATGGTATGTAGTATCTTCTCTTACTTTCTTGAAGACATTACAGCTGGGTTCTAAACTTAAGACCCAGGGAAGCAGAGATTATTAGGGTTGTGCAAAACTCCAAAGTGATTTGATTTGACATAGCTTTAATGGAAGCTGACATCAAGGCAGATTTGCAAGCAAAAGAAGAACTCACTTTGATGGGGTGGAATGAATTGGATGGCTGTGAAGAATTTTGCAGTTCTGAAGGCTTTATCTGCTGCTTCTGAGGGTTGGTTACAGACAATACATAATGTTCACTTTTCTATTAGAAGAATGCTGGGGGTGAGGAGTGAAGGACAGGCTCTATGACAGTGTCATGATAACCAGTCATAAGTTTCATCACCTCAGTAACATTCATGGCTATCCAAATTCTTTCAGGGTAGAAGTCTAACATTGCTTTAGATTTCATTCACTTTCTTATCTCAGCCTGTTTAATGTGGCCAGGGATAAGCTTTAACTTTGCTCTCTCTTGTGTGATGGAGGTCTGATTTAATTGCAAACAGCAAAGTATTTGACTTCCTCAGACCTGTTAGCAGTGAAGCAACCACTTCCATGCTTTTGCAGGAAGTGTTTCACTGTTTTGGTATAATATATTGTTATTGTAGGTTAACAGATTTTAACAATTATTCTGTATATTTGCTTGTGGATGTCTGACTAAAGAAGAATGCATTGACAAATTGTTTTTTTTTCAAAGGGTGAACTAGAAGGTTCTGCCCAGTATCTTCATCAGTTGCAAATGGCAGAAAACTATTTTCTACAGACTGTAGCCAACCCAGAAAGGTGAGATAAAGTCAGTTGTGTTTAATTTTCTTGGTTTGGCATTGCTAATCTCTGTGACATGATTAAATGTGTAAGTATAATATAAACGTGTATTACTCAATTTGGCTGAATACAATACTTAAAGGTATTTCTACATTGCACTTCCTGCTTATGTAATCTCATAAATGTTCCTCCCCCATAGGAAGATGTGTGGTCTTCTAGAAATCAATATAAGTACAGTGAGAAAACACTGACATTGTATCAGTTTGATGCAGACCACAGGTATATTTGGAATTGCCTGGGAGAAAGCGGTACTAAACTCAATTGGAATTACTTTTGAATAAATATAGAATTAAAATGTATTAAAAAGTTAATATATTTAAATCATGTTATCTGATTTATAAACTCTGAAAATAAAATATTATAAATATGCTGAAATAAGGTATTAAGGGTAGCACTGTACAGTGTTTCATGGATAGATTTCAAATCACCTAGGAGAGAAATGGGTTTACAGTCCACACAAAGAAAATTTTCATTTATAACACTCAACTGGGGCAATGTCCAACCCCAGTCAAAAGTAAACACTAACTATAGTTAAACTTACGCATAGGCTGTAAAATCAGTATATATCATGATATAATTACAATCACAGTAAAAATATTTACACAGTTATAAAATCCTAAACCTGCTGTCTAACTTTGTTAATAAGATTTACAACAAAACAGTCCTACCACCTACATTTTCTAACTGTTGTTCTCAACATCTGCTCACAACCACCTCCATCAATCAGTCTTACGTCTAGTGAATTAGTGAATTCTATCAATTATTCCTAAGCTATCCTTATTGAATTATAAACTATAACAAATGTTATAACAAATGATGGTGCCTGGGCTTGAAGTCAGAACCAAACAAATCACACTTTTGAAACCATATTAATTGAATGATTCTTTTTCAGCAGTTTTGGTTTCTGAATAATGTGTAATCATAACCAAATACTTAACCATTTGCTTTGTGAAAAGCTCATTTACTGGATGGAGAGCAGTTCTTTCTACAAGTGACATTATGATTGGATCGGTTGTGGAGAAGTAATTCTAAACATTGACAATTCAATAAATTCTGTATTTTGGTGTTGTGTTTCCTATAATAGTTCAGTTGCTGTTAGCCCAGGAGAAGAAATTCTAACAATATTAAAAACAAATTCCTTTAATTTGGAGGATTTGAGAAAAAGCTCAAATGTTCTACCTCCAGAGGATGGTAAGTAGTGGAAGAGCTTTAAAAATAATGATCAGAGTTACAAAATCCTGTAGATATGTTTATGTGTTGTGTTTTTGTTATTTTATTGATTGGTTTGTTTTTGTGTTTGTTGTTTTTTTGGACATCCTAAAGGAATTAAAACAACATGAACATTAAATACCTTAAGGGTATTAAATACCTTTCTTCCTCCTTAGGATGTCATGGGATAAAGTTTTAAGTGCTGCTGCTGGAATTAGTAAAATGTATGGGATAGTGATTTTTTTTTTTAAGTATCTAACTACAATTCCATGTAAGTGTACTGAGAACTGAGTTCAGTACAGATAGTCCTCACTTACTGACAGTAATTGGGACTGGGAACTCTATCACTAAGTGATGCAGTCGTAAGGCACGATGTCATGTGACTGCACCAACTTGTGACAGCAGCTTTGGCAGTCCTAGTTGCTATTGTTAGGCGAATCCCGTGCAGTCACAGCATCCTGCGGTCACATGATCGCCATTTGCGACCTCCTGCTGGCTTCCCCATTGACTCTGCTTGTCAGAAGCCAGCAGTGAAAGTCACAAGTGGCAATCCTGTGACTGCGGGATGCTGCAACATTGTAATTGTGAGCCAGTTGCCAAGCACCTGACTCGCAATCGTGGGGACACTGCAACAGCCACAACTACGAAGACCCATCATAAATCCCCCTTGCTGAACAAGTGGACATTAAGCAAGGACTCCCTGTAAGATTATTCCCAGATAAGCATATATAAGATTACAACCTAGATTGTACAACCAGAATCTGATCTACTCCATCTAATTTATTGTGTATTATTTTGATGAGTTTGGCATTCTTCGAAAATACAATACAGGAAGAAAAAGGAAAAGTACACCCTCTCCTTGTTTAGTGACCACGTTCCGTTCCAACCACTTGGTCATTAAGCAAAATGGTCACTAAGTGTGATGGAATGGTTTGATGAAGGCCGCACTCAGGGAGATAAGCATTTCCTTAGCCCCCAACAGGAGCGTGGGAAGGTTA